AATTATTCATTTATATGAAACTGGGGGGGGGGTAGATTGTTTATGTAACAGACCTCTGCCGACAACATCAAACTCAGGTAAAACTTCCAAGAAATTATGGCTCTCGAAAAGTCGATTCTTAGGTCTGGTGCTTTAAATTTTAAGTTTCTGCGACATGCTGATCGTTTTTGACCATACTGATTTCGAATCATCCTTAATTATGCAGATCATGATGAGATTTCTGCCTTGTTAGTACGGTAAAACTCCTGTAAAGTCTCTCTTAACAGCCTTGTGTTCAGAAGATAACGTTAGCGGTCAAAATTCAAAGATGGCTGAGGAGGCAATGACTTCAGCGTGAGCGGAATCGTTAATAAAACCGATATTGTTCAGTTACTCGTCGAAAGGCGACTAGTTAAGATGACAGCCCATCCTTATATATCAGTCTGTCGTAACTATCGATCTGCAGCTCTTGCGCCGCAAGACCAAGATCCTATGCGGAGATGAAAGTTGCAGCAACCGTTACCGCAAAGAGAGCACTGATCAAGTTTTAGAGTTGTATTTTTCCATTTAATGAACCCAAACTGTAATTTCGTAACGCAGTAAGGCAAGCGTGCGTTGTCCACTTTATGCTCCAAAGCTGAGATAAAGTTTCTGCATTAATCGATGGGAGAAGTGGTCGCTGCGGAGGACTAGTGCTTTCGAATTTTACCTTACTGTGCTTACTTTTAAACGTATAAAATGTTTTCCTTTTGGAACATCAAGCGAACTGTTAAATAACGTAAGTTTGGTAGAAAATTCTTTAGGGTTAACCTCTTGACAGCTGTTGGCAAAATGCATGAAACCAGTAGTCATTGCGAATAATCGTGGTCACTGATTGTTAAACGTGAAACTTCCGTAGATGGTTTCTAGGAAATCAAGGCTCTGGCTATAAATTAGATTTTATGAAATCTTTATAGACTTTGGATAAGTGCCACTAATGCACATCTTTCTCCTTGTTCACACGATATGTTCACATCATTTATTGATTCTC